TTGCTTGCGATTAGGCCAACTAGGACCACGCATGCATGCATCCTGCATTTACCGTGGCTCAGTAACAATATCGCGGTGGCAGGTGCGTGTAACTTTAATTGGGGGACCGGTATTTAGCCAAGGTCGATTTTTATTCCCCAGGGATGTTAGCCCTGAGGGTGGAAGATGAAATGATGATGATAATGAGGGGTGAAGGGACGAAACAGTCAACATACACAAATACACACAACACAACCATGCCCGAGGCGGGACTCGAACCCGCGATCCTTCGGTCCGAGATCGCTACGGCACTACTGCCTTAGTGATCTCGGCCACAGGATCGGCAAACCCTATTTTATTTATTTTATTTATTTTATTTATTTTACTTATTTTAAATATTTTAAATAGTTTATTTGTTTTATTTATTGTGTGTGTGTGTGTGTGTGCATGTGTGCGTGGCAGGGCGTGACGCTACACGTGTCGGCGTCCAAGATCAAGTTCCTGGAGGTGGCGGAGGAGCTGGAGCTGAAGAAGCGCGACCGCGAGGGGCTGGTGCGCGAGTTCGCCGTGAGCCAGCTGGAGGAGTTCCTGGCCGAGGGCATGCACGTGGACGACCTGCTGACGACGGCCGAGCGCCAGCACATCGTGCGCCACGAGCTGGAGAACATCCGCGCGCTCGCCGAGGACGACCACGTGCCGGGCCACGACGGCCTGGGCCTCTACGAGGGCCAGTCCATCGGTGAGGACGGCGAAAGTGCATACTCTCTCGTATTGTTAGTGACGGTTGCGTAAAATAGTGGCATTAGTTGATCTAACAAAATTTATTCTAATCCGCTACTAGCTGTGTTTTGACGTATGCGCAGAGAGAGTAACAGACTCATCCACTCACCATGAACGCTCTCGACGTTTCGAAGAAGAAAATTAAATTAATGAGATTATCAAAATTTCAGAGAATGTAATAAAATTCAATCAGAGATAAGCAGTATTATAAAACAAAATATGCTGAATTCTAGCAAAACCAATTTAGAGAAATGACTTTGGGACTTTTTTTTCCAAAGTACTGCAGCGTGACTTTATTACGTAATAGTGCACGAGTAATTAAAATTATTAGGACGACTTTGAGCCATACTTGCGTAGTTAACTGTTACGCCCACAAACGAAGTTTCCGAAACTGTGCACTTGTCTGTAACACGTGTCTCTTGGGAGTACGAACAACGCGTAACTCTGAAGCCTGTCCAGCACATGCACGAAAGCCATAGGTGAAACATCTACCCCCAGATGGAATGCAAACCTCTGTACGTTTGTACGATCTCTGGTCAATGCATGCTCAGGATCGACTGGGACAAAGCTGCTTATATGTATATAAATGGGGCATGATGTGTGAACGCATCACTATCCTTTCACTTGACTAGAGCCGATCGTGCTCGAGCCCCTCTTGTGTCCTCCTGACAGGCTTATCCAACAAAGGAACAGGTCACCCAGGTGACCCGTGGATAAACGTTTGGACAGAGTATGCGAAGTGGACCCCCTCTGGAGCAGCCATTATCTAATCCGACCATTTCACTACAAAGTCTAAATTTTTTATTGAATTCTATCTCGGTCCTCGTTACACATCATTCATTTTTGATAAAGATCCTCGAGGTGTAAACACATAAAATAGAATATTGAAATGTCTTAAATCTTAAAATAGTTTCATGTACGTCTTTCTGGATTTTGTGTTTATGTCACGGAAATGCCCTTTCAGTTCAGGCGTGCCTTCACTGGGAGCTGCTGGAGCAGATGTTCCCCCTGCACGACTCGGAGACGCTGGATAACTTCGGCCGCAAGTGGTACTGGGCTCTGTTCCGAAGACAGCCCATTGGTGAGTAAGATATATTATTATCATTTTTTACAAATAACTAGGTGACCAAAAGTTGGGAATATTACATTTATGAATAGTAATATTTAAGAGATTTTATGAAATTGAATAATTTGTACTTGTTTTAACCCTAATAAATTTACGATCCGCTCAACTTTCTTTAGATGACAAATTTCTACTGTGTCTCTTATTTTCACGTTCAGGCCATTGGATAATAAAAAAATGTGTTACCGAACCCATCGTTGTTGTTTTTATTTCAACATTATAGCAATATTTGTGTCTCCAGTCATAGAGAAATTCGTATTGATGGATTAATCGCGATTAGCCATATAATATATCATTTTCCATATACTCGTATGTATTTACGCAATTTAACACTAGCCATAGCTGGGTGGAAGCAGGTCATTGTAATCGCAAAACGTTTGAGCAAAACATGTGTCCTGAGGATTGCTTGACAAACGGATTGCTGAGTAAACTTTAGTTTGATGTGTGTATTTATGTGCTAATGAAAAGAGCAGACATTTCCAGTATATTAAAGTGTCATTGAAATATTCAAATAAACGTTTTTTCCTTGAAAAAAAAAAAGTATTAAAAATCTATTTTTCACGTATTCGTGTTGTCTTTTCAAATTTAATTTTCGATTACTAATTCGTTCTTGCAAATGCGAATTTGTGAACTAGATATTTGCAGAGCTAGTTATCTTACGTCATTCTGAGAACATTTCAGTTTACATTCATGTTTGTGTGTGTGTTGGGAAAAGTCTGCTTGAAGAGCTCTCATAACTTTGTTGAAATAAATATGACATGCATAGCTTGTTTTGCATAAGAATTGGAGCTTGTCTACACTGCCGCATAATTACCCCGATAAAAAATTAGAGCACACCTGCTGTTACAGCATGTGTTGGCACAATGCACATGGAGACCTAGAGTTACGAAATTTTCAGAGTTTCGAGAGGGAAATTTCGAATGCCCTACACCAACATTCCGGAAGTTATGAACTGAATGTAATGATTTCTGCTTGTTAGATTTCATTCTAGTCTTAGAGTACATACGTTGACACAAACATCCTTACTCGTGCTCGCGCGTACGCACTCGCACACACATATGCACTCGCACACACATATGCACTCGCACACACATATGCACTCGCACACACATATGCACTCGCACACACATGAGCTCTCGCACACACATGAGCTCTCGCACACACATGAGCTCTCGCACACACATGAGCTCTCGCACACACAAATCCACGCACTGTCTGTTGACACTGCAGCATTTCTTCCCCAGATCTGATATCTGCCAGCTGCTCTGATCGTAAGTTGTCCGTGGCTTCTCAGATCAATGCAAGACAACAGAAGCAGGGCCTTAACAAACGGATAACGGATCGCCGGCGATCTTTCATTCCTCATCCTTGATCTATCCTCTTCCTACACACACAATGTTCACAGACCGTTGGGAGACCAGTCGGGATCTTAGGGATTTTACCATCAGGGAAACTGACCCGCTGGACTCGTTGAATTGAAATTCATCGCAAACCGACGTGAAGGGCATCGCCAAAACTCACTGTCACAACACCGGGAGAATCACTGCCACCTTCTGCAATGCCACATGCACTGCACCACCCGACGTATATCCGCTTTTTCGGCTGTTGACCAATTATACCCTCACACACACACACACACATACCCAATCAATATCAAATCAACCAATTAATCAAATACACACATACTCAATCAAGTACATGCATACATTCCCAATCAAGTACACGCATACATACCCAATAAAATACACACGTACATACCCAATAAAATACACACGTACATACCCAATAAAATACACACGTACATACACAATCAAATACACACGTACATACCCAATCAAATACACACGTACACATATCAAATCAATCAATCAACCGAAGCAGAGAGCTGATCAACTCGGCCGTTCTATTTTGTAAACTTCCTTATCAAGTTTACGATTTTTGAAAAACACGAAGAAAGCGACAGATAGCTCTTGTTTGTGATTTTTTTTATAATCTGGGAAGTAAATTGTAGTTTCTTTAATTTGAGCTTTCTTAAATAAGTAGGAAATGAATCAAAGATACGTTACAATTGATATAGTTGTCTACGGCATAATTTAATCTTTGTGTATTATTTGTGATATGTACAATGCAGGAGAAGAAATATGTTATGTTCCATCCCCATCTTTTTACTGGAAGGTATTCGCTGTGCGGGTAATACTACTCATAGTATTTTTAAAATACCGTTTACTATTTTCACGGGGAGTACATTTTCAAACACATCTGCAGGCGACCTCTTTATCATGCGCCAAAAACGACTGATTCCATACGTAATAACATTGTCGCTCACATAACCCAACGTAACATGCTCGTGATGCGAGTCTCACGTAAAAGGCGGGAAACGTGCGTGAGTGCGTAAGGCGCCTTCTCAAGGCCGCGGGGGCGCGTGTTTGCCCCTCCACCCCGCACCCCCCAGCCCCCCGCTGAGCTCCGTCAAACAGCGTCTGAGCGGCGCGCGCATAAATCACGAAAGCGCCGGCGGGACACGTTTCGCGACTGGAGACGTCGCCTGCTGCTTGGGTCGTCTCCGCGAGCCAGGTGGCGTCCCACAAGGTTCGGGAAAAGAAAGAAAAAAAATAAAATAAAATAATGCCTTTTCTGTCAATTCCGGAAAAATATTGTCATTAATGCCATTTTTGTGTGGAAGAGATATTTCAACGAAGAACCAGAGATATCTGGTGTTTCGTTCCATTAGTAGCTAACTAATTTACGATATTAGGGCCGTGAGTTCGTTGTTTTATCATGATACGAACCATTCACGCGATTGCAGACCGTAAAAACATCCATCCCTAATCCAACTCAGGCTAGAGGCAGATCTCCTCGCCGGAACGGTTGCTTGTTTAATCTGGGTCACTTCAATGAATACATGACATACAATTATTTAAGAGAATAAACACAATAGGACCATATATAGTTTTATGTAATGCTGTTATATCTGCAATTATGAAACAATGCAGTAAGATGAAAAACATCATGTTAATTCACTTTCTTTTCTCACTAATTCAATTAACTAAATTCTCAAGTTATGTATTGCCTTCCCCATTTCGTTTTAATGTATTATTTATTTCCTCTCCTTATTTTCTTTCTCCTCCTTATTCGTCTTGTCCTCCCTGCCTTCTTGTTCTTTTTCTTCTTCCCCTTTACGTTTGACGTCATTCCTCAAACTAATTGCTTTCTTTGGTAATACTGAGCGATCTATTTCGAATTTCTAATCACCATTAAACGCTTACCCAAACTTTATTATCTTAATTTGAAATCACAGTAATTTTTTAATGGTTGCACTTCTACTTTTTAGGAGGTTCTTCGAACTAAATGCTTTGTTTCGTAATTCTGAGCGGTCTATATCAAATTACTAATCACAATCAGGCGCTTATTTTAACGTTATCTTAATTACGAAATAACGAATTTTAAATGCTTTAATACTGCGCATAAATTTCAAAAAACAACAAAAGAAAGGAATAAAGCAGGTTGCATAGAATATGTCATTAGAGTACATAGCTTGAATGTATAAAATCTATAATGGAGGAAACCATTGCTCTAAACGAGGAAAATTTGAACTGTAGCAGTGTCAGTTGTATATCGACGTATGAAATTTAAATAATTGAGTAATAGGTGTGAAATTAATGAATGTCAGATTGTTAATTTGATTTTATTCAAGTAATAAAAAGTAGTTTGGAAATCTAGACTGAAATTCAAATATTACATGAAAGAAACTACAAATGACTTGCGAGAAAACACTTTACATGCCAAGAGTATCATAAAAGATGCTGAACACGTGTATAGGAAATAATTAACGGCCGTCGGCCTCTTCTTTGGAACCTTCCTATCTCATAACCTCAACTGTCGTAAACAGAGACCCACAATGACAATTCAGTACCCGCAGTATAAATATGGGCAGAAAAACACTATCAAATATCATTATTCTGTCTAAATCGAAATTGTTTCATTGTTTTTGTATTTTTTCCAAATTCCTAGCTTTCCAAAGAAACCATAGATTCTAGTGGTCTTTCGTTAATATCAAAACATTAATGTTCCCAAGCATCGATATTCAAAATTAAAACATCGAAGTTTTAAAGCTAGTTTATTAACCTCTATAAACAAATTCGTGCACAACGAAATTTAATTTCAAACTGAGGGGGGGTATATTATTTTGTAAATATTATTTAATTGAAAAGCCGTTCAAGATGGCCGAAATCGTTAGGCAGTAGTGCCGTAGCGATCTCGGACCAGAAGACGTCGGTCATGGATGAATTTGTGCATGTATATATGTGTGTGCCTTCCTTTCATGCTTCGTTATCATCATCACCGTCACCATCAACATCATCACTATCATCATCATCATCATCATTGTCATCATCCATACCCCCAGACTAACAACCTTGGGGGATAATAATCGGGATTCAGCCAGATGCTTATCCCCCCAGGCAAAGGTTCTTGCACCCGCTGAAGGAGGATATACGCGTGGTCTGAGTTGTCCTATAAGCGAAATAAAAATAAAAACAGTTAAAAACGCTCTATGAACGCTATACGAGGAAATACGAAGTAACAGAGCATCATGATTGTCTCAGGCGGGAGATAAGATTTCTAGGTGGTACTAACAGCTTTAGTTTTGTTCGAACGTAAATTGACAGTGGTACCATCAGTTATTGTTTCATATTTTAACTTTAACAAAATCGTCTTTTCGAGAATTTTTCATCCATGAACAAAACATCGAGAACGTAAAAACAGAATGCACAAAACAATGATGTAAAATTCATTGGCTTCAGTACATCGAGGTTTTAAGCATTGATGTTTTTATAGAAACCGATGTTTTGGAAACATGGATGTATCTGTAAAATACTCATCTCCAACTTTTCTTTCAATTATTACGCGTGTTGGAATTTAGTGATAAAGATTTATGTAGGTTTTTAGTGAGCACTTGATGTGTTGTATTTAGATTCAGATTTATTCAGTCAAAAAAATAGTAAAAACCTGTATATACTTACCATTACAAGCAAAATGAGATTTCAACACAACGTTCGCATAGTGAAGTTACATTTACGTCCAGAAGCAAAACAAGGGGCCATTTCATCATTTTATCAATGGATCAGGGAAACTGGACAAAAACCTGCTCGAGATGGTAGTTTACTGCATGCGTACGTTTTTAGGAGTCTGCTAACTTTCTGGATATTCAATTGCATTGTGGAAATTGCGATCACACACACACACACACACACACACACACACACACACATATATATATATATATATATATATATATATATATATATATATATAAATTTCTTTTAAAGTCGAAAGAAGTGACGCAGTGTTTTTGTGCTGAACAGAGGAGATTCGCCTGTACTTCGGCGAGGCGATCGCGCTGTACTTTTCCTTCCTGGGCTTCTACACGTCGGCGCTGGTCGTGCCCATGATCCTGGGCTTCTTCCAGCTCTTCATGTCCACCGGCACCGTCGCCTTCTTCTGCATGTTCAACGTCCTCTGGGTCACCGTCTTCCTCGAGGTGATTATTCGGCGGCGGCGGTGGCGGCGATGGTGTAACGGTTAGCGTATCTATCAAAGTTGGTGGGTTCATCGAAGCAGTGGATTTTTAAGGGCCTAAAAAAATACTTCGTACGCCTTCCTTCGGAGGGGAAGTAAAGCCGGCTGTCCCATGTTAGTAGATTTACTTGCATGTAAAAGATCCTCAAGCCTAAATGACGCCTCTGAGCTAAATTCAAATCGCCTGTTTCATTTCGTTTGGTCATTGTTACACCTTACCTTGTTGTGCCTTACAAAATCAATCTTCTTAATTAATTCATGAACGTCCTTCTCAACGGGGCTCGTGGCCTCAGAAACGTGCTTAACACTGTTAGATTTATTTTATAAGGCAGGAAGGAGGTGTAACAATGACAAAATGACTCTGCGCGCGGCGATGGTGTAACGGTTAACGTATCTACACAAGTTGGCGGGTTCAAACCCGATCGAAGCCGTGGGTTTTTAAGGGCCTAAAAAATACTTCGTACGCCTTCCTTCGGAGGGGAAGTAAAGCCGGCTGTCCCATGTTCGTAGATTTACTTGCATGTAAAAGATCCTCAAGCCTAAATGAGCGGAATTCAAATCATCTGTTTCATCGACCAAGAAATACATCCTTTCTTCGCTAGTTGGTGAAAGGAGCGTATCGAAATTTGCGTGGTCAAACGGAAAAGCGGGCCTGATGGCTCTAGCCTCCGCCATGTAAATTAAGGCATTAATTCAATTCAATTATTTTCCCTAAAAGAAGTGTACGATTTGACACTAATGAGTAGGGGCGAATTTTAATGAAATGCCTTTTTTATCTTTTAACTTTAGAATAATGCCGTGTAGAATAGAAATTCAGTTTATGTTATGACAAACCAAAATGACCCATTTTTATATATATTTTCTTACATTTTGCGTCTATTTCTACTAATAAGTCAGATTTTTACCTTTTTACGTCATTTTTACTGAACTTTTCACTTATTTCATAGTTTAATACAATTTGAATGGTACTTGCTTCAAACAATATTTACGAGGTGCAACAAATGTTCACCACAGAATTCTTGATTAGCCTAATCGATTTCTTCACTCATATATACGTATTATAATGTCAGCGGTTGTGAGTACGATGTAAGGTTCTTGTGACTTTTATTGGCGCCATTGTCAGTTCGGCCGATTCCATGATAAATAAATGCAGAAATTTTCGTTAAAAAAACAGTCGAAACCTAAAGTTTACAAGCTGACTTCACTTGAACAAAACGAAGAATCTTCAATTACATAAGTAACATATCCAATAGTTTGAGTTGTTTATCTGAAGTGGTTTTGATTAAATTTTTAACGTCTGTTCTTTATTATTTAGCTATTTTTAAAGAATTTTAAGAAATTTTTTTTGATCACTTTTGGCGATGTTTTAGGTCATCAAAATACGCCCCTACGTATGAGGATGTTTTGATGTACACGTTTTAAAGTGCGTTTGAGACCCACGTCGTATGGAGATGGCGTGTACTGTAGATCTGAATCTACGAAAACTTTGAATGCTTACTTGTTTTTAACTCTTCTGTGCTTCAGAATGAAATAAATTAGGTAGGGTGTTACTGCAGAATAGTAGTTGCTCTTGAACATGGCCCTCAGAGAATATCAGAACGTAACCTCAGAAAATAGCTGCCTCTTCAGACAGGTCTTAAATTCCAATACCAATTCAAACACCAAATGTTATGTATATTGGCACCGTTCTTGAGTATATAAGTAGAAATTGGAATTCCAATACTATGATACTAGACATAAGTAGAGAACCATATTGGCCGCCGTAAAATAAATATTACACACTCTAGAGCATGAAGGGGGATCGAAAATGATCAGTTTTACCAATAAATATGCGCTGTAATAAATATGCATGTAACGAAATTACACATGTGACATTTTCTACTGATTGATAGTCAATCCATGCAGTTGTGTTTGACAGGTATATGAAATCTTTTTGACTGATTTAGAAAGTGCTTCTGTCAAACAACAATGCACAATTCGTTGCCTACAAATCAGGGGCTAATGCCATATCTGTAATTTCGCTCTATGAGATTTCCTACCGTGTATCCATCGGCAAAAATTAATCATCTTCACCCTCTACATGCCCTTCAAGGTTGAACTTTTTTACGGTCGTTTTTTAACTACTAGTCATGTAGCGACCACTAATTGTTTACGTTGAGATAACGGTACGGGGATCACGACACGTAAGGACAACACGAGTACACTTCCTTCGAGCCGAGGTAGCTATGGCCCTACAGCCTCTGCGACCTCGGCTGTCCAGACTAGCAATTGGGAACATTTATTCTGGTATTAATTTTAGACAGAAATATTTTAAAAAATTGTAAATGAATCGCTTGGTGTAGAAACCCCATAAGCCGACTCCCCACGATTTTTCAGGAGCTGGAGTAAACTGCGTTTCTTTACACTCGGGACCAAACGAAAACTTTAGTCATATATTATCAACAGTTCGCGGCAGACATGAAGGATTTTTATAACAGTCGATGCGTCTACATAGTAAACAGACATTATATTATATCCTGTGATCAACATATCTCGAAACCGTACGTCACTTAATAGAGAGATGTGAACTAACAGTCTGTCGCGGAGATCCCACGGAGTTCCATGTCCGACACCGATGGCGCAGCGGTTGAGTGAATTAAAACCTGGACGTGCTCCTTTAGGGACTAACCTTTTATTGTACCCCCTTTGAAGACTGTTTTATTGATGTAATGTCATGTTGTGATGTATAGATTTTGATTGTGCTATGTAGTTTGTGGACTGCACTTGTTATATTCCTGGCTGTGTGCGCTTGCCATAAGATAAATATAATAGATCTTATAATAAATATTATAAGATAGGTATATTAAAATCTAGAAATCTGTAAAATATTGACATGAGCGGTGTCTGCACCAAGCAATTCAAATATTTATTTTGTACGTAGCGTAATTTGAGTGTTCTTTGGAATACTCCGTGATCTCTGTGTGTGAATGGACTTAGGACGCTTGGTGTTCTTTGGAGCACTGTGTGTGATGTGGGTGAATGGGTTTCAAAGAACGTTTAGCGTTCATTGGAACTCGCTGTGTGATATCTGTATGTGATATGAGTGAATGGGTTTCAAAGGATGTTTGGTGTTCTTTGGAGCACTGTGTGATCTGTGTGTGATGCGTGTGAATGGATATCAAATGTCGTTTAGCGTTATTTGGCACTGTTTATTGGAGATGAGAGTGAATGGGTTTCAAAGGGCGTTTAGCGTTCTTCGGAACACTATGTATAATGTCTGAATGTGATGTGAGTGAATGGGTTTCAAATGACATATGTTCTTTGGAGCACTGTGTGATCTCTGTGTGTGATGTAGGTGAATGGGTTTCAACGAACGTTTAGCGTTCTTTGGAACTCTCTCCCTGTGTGATCTGTGTGTGCGAAGTGTGTGAAAGAGTTTCAAGCGAGGGCGTGGCGCGAGCGGTGGCTGAGCGGCGGCCCGTGCGCAGGTGTGGAAGCGCAAGTGCAGCGAGTTGGCCTTCAGCTGGGGCACCATCGGCATGACCAGCCTGGACGACGACCCGCGGCCCAACTTCCACGGCCACATGGCGGTGGACCCGGTCACCGGCCGCTTCCAGCCGCAGTTCCCGCGCTGGAAGACCAACGCGCGGGTGAGACCTCATGATAGAACAGTGTCAGAATTAGATGTTATAAACTTCTAGGGTGTGTAGGAATGTCGACGATGCACATTTTTAGTCGGTGTTTTGTGAAATCGTAACATCATTTTCTTACGATTGGTAGGAAAATCACATTGTCCACGTGTTGTGCTGGTACACGAAATTTGTAAAATACATAGAAGTTCATTACATTTATTCCGAGACCCACTGTGAACAGAGATGTAATAGAGAATGCGTTTGCGTTGCTTAGCTATACTTCGTGTCGCTGCCCATCGTGCTGCTGTGCATGACAGAATAATCTAATGTTATAAACATCTATGGCATTTAGGAGTGCTGGTGCTGCTCATTTTAGCCAATGTTTTGTGAAATTGTAACAATACTTGCATATGATTGGTAAGAAAATCACCTTGCCCAGATATTTTGCTGGTACACGAAATTTCTAAAATACATAGAAGTTCATTACATTTATTCCCAGACCCACTGTGTACCGGATTGTGAAAGCGAATGCGTTTGCGTTGCTTAGCTGTACTTCGTGTCGCTGCCCATCATACTGCTGTGAATGACAGAATAATCCAATGTTATAAACAAATGTTATAAACTTCTATGGCATTTAGCAGTGCTGGTGCTGCTCATTTTAGCCAATGTTTTGTGAAATTGTAGCAATACTTGCATATGATTGGTAAGAAAATCACCTTGCCCAGGTATTTTGCTGGTACACGAAATTTCTAAAATGCATAGAAGTTCATTACATTTATTCCCAGACCCACTGTGAACCGGGTTGTGAAAGCGAATGAGTTTGCGTTGCTTAGCTGTACTTCGTGTCGCTGCCCATCGTGCTGCTGTGCATGACGGGCGCCTTCTTCGTGATGCTGGCCTCCTTCTGGGCCGAGGAGTACCTGGTGCAGGTGCGGCGCACGACCGGCCTGCGCGCCGGCGCGGTGCTCGTGCTCACGCCCAGCATCGTCTACACGGCGCTCGTCTTCGTCATGAACCTCTACTACCGCCGCCTCGCCACGCGCCTCACCGAGTGGGGTGAGTCGCTCTTTCGAAGCGACACGGAAACCTGTCGCGATATATATCTGTGTGTGTGTGTGTGTGTGTGTGTGTGTGTGTGCGTGCGTGTGCGAGCGCGTGCGTGTGTGTGTGTAAAGAAAATATATTTTCTTTATTTGGAGCATGCCGTGCTTCCCACCTTCGGCGCGTGGTTAAGAGTGGTTGCACGTGGTTGAGATTAAGGCCCGTTAGATGGAATGAGTGGTACGATTGTTGGAAGAAATTTAGATACGCATGAGTATAGATTGAAAATTTATAAGAAAGATATATTGTAATTGAAGTGTTGTAAACAGAGAAGTGATAGTAGTTGGCTTAAATTGTCGTTTAGTTGGTAAAAATGAATAAAACTCCACTCTGTTTACAGGGAAATATATATAAAGGTTGCATCAACATCTAGGTCATTAGCGATCACTGTTGGATTCAACGGTATGGTAACTGTGGCGACGACATGATATGGTAATAAGGGGTGAAAGGACGATCACAAATGCATCAATGCTCTAGGCGGGACTCGAAACCGTGATCCTTCAGTCCGAGATCGCTACGACTCTACTGTCTTAATGATCTGGACGACATTTTATTTCATTTTTATTTTTTTATTATTATAATTTTTTTACTGATACGATGTAGCTTGTCATTGCCTTTGATACGGAGTGGGATATGCGCGGCGTAACTTACCTGGCTCGTGAGGATCGTAGTTACGAGGGAAAAAGAAAAATAGTTGAATGATGCTGCTATGTTACCTTAGGAAAGAATTATGAAGGGGAATTATAGGAGGGGAGACAAGCGCAGTCAAGTAAACATCTAAGTAATTAGTAAATAAGTAAATTTGAATCAATAAGATTTGATAAAAAATAAAATTTATGTACCACGGGCGTTAATTGGTTCTCATGACCTCGGGCGCCCAAACGCTGCCGAGTCAAGCTCATAGCCATCTGGGACATCCAGGTCGGATGAAAAAGAAAGAGAATTATGAAGTATTTTCTAATTTAATAGGTCGACCACATTTAAAAAAAACTGAGAAAAAATTAGTTAAAGGTACATAGTAGTGGTTATAAAGAGTTCAGAAGAGAAAATATATAGACTTCATTTCATTCATTTACTCATTTAGATCCCATTTAGACTTTCTGTACCTGAGCCCTTAGGAAGATAGCTACGTCTTGAGTTTTTACGTATTATATTACTTTCTGTTCTACTCTCACGAGTAGCGGGTTTTTTAATTCGGGCCTCCCCATTTTCACTCAAATTTTTTCGAATTATTTTACTTTTAATTTTTGTCTTGAAATATACAAAATGTTTGATCTTAATGAAAATACTCTTTCGTTGGTGATGCAATAAATGTGTTAATAATTTTAAATAAATTGAGTAAAATTATAAAAATTTGGGCTTTAGCCGATTTCAGGATCAGACACACAGTTAACTAATAAAGATACGTACAAGTTTCCTCTTGACACAGAGAAGGCACAATATTGGAGCAATTCAAAGTTTTCCTCTCCACCAGAATACAAAATGTAATATGTCAGCATTCTTTCTCAGAATACAAGGAAACCCGCGCTCGGAAAGTTCTCGATTGACCTACTTGTTAATGAAAGTGTCGCTTACTATCGGAAATCGAGAGTCAATCCGCAATCAGAGCTTGTCGTAGAATCCACGAAATCGAGTCGAGTTGACCCTGGCCTGGCCGCAAAGCGGTTTCTCCGCTTTCCTGCAGCAGTGCTGAGACGTTCACCGCTGCCGCTAGTTTCCCGTTTCTAGCTATTGCGTCCGCACCTCGCAGCCCAAAAAGAGAACTTCGGAGAATGCTTTCGAAACGGAACCGCGATACTAATAACAATTGAGAAATTGAAAAATTGTTCTGCCCACCAGATGTTTCCTGTGTTCTTGATTCCTCTTCACCCTCCTGGACACTCAAAATACTTCACTAATTGATCTTTCAACAGACTGTCCTCTCCCCAGCCCCCAAGCTCCATCCACAATAACTCAGGTTAGTTTTTATGAAACATCAGATTTCATTGTAAATACCAAAGATACCACATTATTCTTCTGAAATTTCAGTTTATCGCAAAGACCAGGAGATTTTTCTATATTATTGAAATTATCGCGGCTGATGGGACAAATAAGACTCAGGCTATCGTCCCGATTTACAGACTCTGGCTGTGACTCTGGCTGTGACTCTGGCTGTGACTCTGGCTGTGACTCTGGCTGTGACTCTGGCTGTGACTTGGGATGCAAGCGCCACAGACGGTCGGCAGCGCCCGTTATGAAACGCGAGGCTGCGCGGAGCCGGAGAGAGAGTGAAACCTCGTGGAGCGGAGAGCCGCCAGCGCGCGAGGTGCGGCGCGGCCCGTCAACACGCAACGCTGCCGCGACGCGTGTAAGCGAACGTGCTTCATATGCATGTGGCGGAATTAATTGCTGGCTCCGCTCTGCCACCCGGCCGCCTCAGCTCCGCGGGGTGAGGGGAGGGAGAAAAGAAGCTTCTGTTTGCGTCTACGCGTCCGTCTGCGGGCAACAAGCTGCTGTAAAAAAATATCTAGGTTGTGTTGTGTAGTACAGGGCTCCTTACAATGTTGCGTCTGGAGCAAAGATCACCTTTCCGTGCCCTGAGCAACCGTCAAGGGTGACGGCTTTCAAGTAAGGAAGGAGGTGGTGGGGTGGTGTAATGAAAGAGCTGTAAAAGGACAGCTCATCAGTTGACGCCTTTTTCGAATTGACGGAAGTTAACTTCAAAGATTCCGAATACCTTCAGTGTGGTTGGACGAAGAGAATAAAATTTGCTTCATGTCACCGCGATTATACTAATGAAAGCATCAGAGGGTTTGGGAATACTAAATAAAACATGTTACTCGCAGGAACCACGAATCTTGTTCGGCGTTGATTATATGAACAAATTTTGAATATTTATAAAGTACTAGGAGAGAAGTGACATGAGTGATTCAGGCTGAGGCGCGTTTTTCATATATTTTCATACTTTCATATATTGTAATATTGTATTTTTATGTAAAAACAGTTATCCAATAACAATTTTCTGTCTATAAAATAAAGACCAAATGCAGTCTGACAAAGTTGTTAAATGTATAGACAGAAAAGTAAAACATTTTAATATCCTGTATTGATTGATTGTAGGCACGAGAAGGATTCGAAATGGCAATATTTTGAAAAACAAAAAAACAATCCCTAATTTCTAAAACTACTATAACCGCCACAATAATTTCTAATTATATCAACCAATGACAGAGATGTATTTTTATTATAAAATAATTTTCAAAAATAATATAAATTTCTGCCAACATAAACAGCCTATATTTAGTTTTCTAATATACTGTTGAATCCGAGAGTATCGTTGGAAATGAAAACTTGGGCTATATTTCTTTTGAATATTCTGAAATGTTTAAATGTTGTACAAATTAATATGAAGCAATTTCCTACTTCTTCCACTGCAGTCGCCTGCGAAGTCGGCTTCTTCTTACTCTCCTTGCCTTTTGCCCAACATTGAATCTTGAAACCTGCGGCTTTGCACGAGAGCATTGCTCATGACGCTGTCGCATGGGACGGGCGAAGCGAGTCCTTTGTCACGTCAAGGGCAGTACTGCCACATGCGAGATGCCAGTCATTAACGATACCCTTTTCTACATGCAATGTTGGAGTGTCACTTGCTTGTCATTCCTGCGTGGATTTTCTTTGTAAATGGGCTCATACGGTACACTACACACCTCAGTTTCACAGATTTTCTCGTCCGTGAATCGGGTGCTACAACGTCTGAAAGCACACCCCGCCAGTAAAAATATCACAATTTCACCCTTTTGGCAATTAATTTTCTTCAAGATACATATTCCTGTTTAATCGTTTTCTGAATGTTTATTCTCGTAAACTTGACGGGGTACAGTTTTGTTAAACCTGTGATGGGTGGTGGTAAGATAAATTCCTTTTAAGTACGCGATGGTAAACCACTGTCAGCGCCTTCAGGTTACGGTTTCATACAAGACGCTCCAATCGGGTCGGATAAAAATGACCGTGAATGAATAATGAAATAAAATTACACCAAGTCCCGAACGTGATTGATTGATTGTTAGTGATACCGGGCGCGCCTGCTACTCAGGTCATTTGTGCCGTAAGTGGAGTGCATGTTTTTGCTCTTGAAGTGGCGATGGTCTTCCCCCGCTGTATGGCGAGATCCGTTGCCGAACGTCCGTCGGCAAACGGGGGGTTCCTCAACCAGATATCTCCCACCAGCGGGGCACTGACCTAGCCTGGACAAGCTTTAATCTCCCAACCGGTCTGCGGTATGTGTGGTAGTGTAGTGCATGGAAGTGTATGTTTATGTTGTTGCTTGTGTGTGTGTGTGTAAATAAGGGGTATGATAACACAAGGAAGAGAACGGAAAGATCGCGCGCGGTCTGTGACCCGTTTGTAAGGGCACTGCTCCGGCATTATCCTGGTGTTGATCGGAGAAACCACGGAAAACTACCGATCAGAGCAGCCGGCCGCTAGAATTTTCCTCCAGCCAGTGACTGAATTCGACCTAGCTGACAAGCCTGGCCCGTTAGTACGCCAACTTTAGGACCTCCCGGACAGAGGCGCTGCAGAGACATCAGTTGACGTCCCGAGCCGCCGACGCCGGTGGGTAGAAGGCGAGTGCGAAAGCGGCAAGCAAGAGAGCAGGCGGGCGCAGGGAGTCAATTTTCGGGTGCGGGGGCGTGGTGCGCCTCCGGGGAGGAAGCCCGCCGGAAGATCCGGAGCCGCCGCCGCCGCTGCCGCCGCCCCTGGGCTTCGCGCGTGACTCGGCCAACGTCCGCCCGCAGCCGACAGCGCCTCACCGGACACCGCCCCTCGAAACCGGCCACCGACCGCCCACCGACCGCCGACGGACCGCCCCACTCGCCGCCCACCGACCCGCCCACCGACCCGCCATAATCCCACGCCCCGGCTTTCAATCTCCTTGAGACTCTGTCGGTAACGGTGAGTGAAAGGCTAAGCGATGCGAATATGAATTTATTTTTGTTATTTAAGGTCGTATCAACATTAGGTCATTAGCGACTACTATTGGCTTTAACGGTATGGTAACTGTCAAGCTGATAAGAAATTCTGATGATGGGCGGGGAAAGGATGAACGCAAATACAACCATATCCGAGGTGGGACGCGAACTCGTGATTCTTCGGTCCGAGATCGCTACGTCGGAACTGCCTTAGCGATCTCGGTCATCCGGACCGGGACGTACCTTTATTTTCAATGGTTTACTAAATTTTTATTAAATCTATCAGCATTTAGGGGAATTTATAACTAAATAAAATATGCTTAACGCAGCAACTGAAGAGAGATTTGCAGTGACTTAACAGTTTTTCAGGAAGGGAAAGTATTTACAATCGGCCTTACAGTTCTAGATAGGATTCAAAGGTTTGGGGGATATCGTTTAACATCGGAGAATATAGTTTTTAAACACATTATTTGGCGGTGTGATCGAGAAGCATAAAAATATATTGGTACGTGAAAGCAGAAAACGAAAGGTAACCGACACACATCATTTCGTAAAGAAGCTCTTCAATTCGTGCAATAAACAAGTACACGAGTACTTGTTTATTTCATACCTTGCTTTTACTCACAAGAGTACCTCATCAATAACTCATTCTCTTCTCGCCTCAAATACTTGCTATCAGTTATTTTCTCAACCTGAAATTTGTAATATTTCCATATTGCTTCTTCATAGGAGTTGTTTTTCGTTTTTATGTCAACAAACTTTATTACGCATAAGAAATAAGTATTTGTACCGTTTCATTGTAATAAATTCTTTACATATTTTAGTGGCTCTCCTGTGTAATATATTTTTGCTAATCGAAAATCTACAATTAAAACATCCATTCTCTTTCAAAATATTTGTGTGAATCTTAGCGTTTAGAAATCTTTGTTTTTTTATTTACTATTATCTTGAAATTTGATGAGACTATCTTCCCTTCTGTTTATGATCTGCTACGCAAAGAGGAGACGATTCATCAGAAAAATACCTTTTAAAACGTTTGAGAATAAATATTGAATATTTAAAATATACTAATAGGTATATTTTTTTAATGTAGGCTAGCAGGATTCCGAAGGCGTGTAGTATAGTGCAGGCAGGAAGCTAGTAGGCTTCCGATATAGAAATTCTAACATCAAATTTACCCAAAGGTATTGGAAAAATTACTCAACAAAAATGGGTTACCAAACAAATGTGGCAGTCAGCCTTCACCAATTTGTAAACTTTTAACTCAATAATACATAGATTAAAATTTCTCTTGGTTTTTGAAAAATATAATTTAATTTGGGAAGAAATGTGTGTATTGTTACTTCCTCTAGCTCTAAATTCTGTTTTAAAAGGATTCATAAAACGAATAGTTCAATAAAGATTCATAGAACGAAAGTCAAACATCTATGTGTTCATACTATTAAGTTTCACTAAAGTATTTTATTATTAATCTTCAATATTTCGTTGTTTCAGAAAATCACCGCACACAAACGCAGTTCGACAGACATCGAGTCACCAAGCTCGTTCTTTTCGAGTTTGTTAATAACTTCATGTCGCTCTTCTACATAGCATTTTACATTCAAGACATGGACATGCTGAAATACGTAAGAAAAAACAGTAGTTTATGAATTGATTTATCCTTCCCAAGTACGGAAAGAAAACTATGTTTTTTTTGTTTCAGCAACTAGCCATCATGTTGATTGTGCTTCAAGCTATCCAGAATTTCCAAGAAGCTTTATTACCTCTGCTTATCAAGTATTACGGTAACGTGGTGAGTCTCATTCTCTCGTATTTCTGCTTTCACGCCACTAACAGATGCAAGTGGCAAAAAGTCATAATTCTTCTCAAAACCTCTTTGTGTGGTGATGGTCTCCTCGCTTGGGGGTTCTTCCGAGCCTCTAATTTTCAAAATGCCGATTTCATTATATCCTCTATCACGTTTTTCAAAGAATACAAGTAATTGTAGGTGTCCTCTTTTCTTCTGATTTATTCATTGATGTTCGTAGAATGCCCGTGTGTTCCGTAAATTCGATTCGTCCGAGCTCGTAAATAATTAATGTGCTCCTGCACAGTTTTTACATATCTGACCAATATCCTCTTACGAAGAAAAACCTTGTAAGTGGAATTTGTTTTGCTTTAAACGTGTAGCACGAGCTTGTTTACCAAAGCATTCAATTCAATTCAATTAAAAGCACAAATAAGTTATATCACTTATTAATTTTTATTTATTTTCCTTTATTACCCTTTTTTATTTTATAACCTTACGATAATTGTATAATTTAAAACCTTACTATAATTTTGAAAGTACCTTTACATAATTTTTATTTTATGGGTGTGCAAAATCGTCCGAGTGGTTAAGAGTCTTCCGATGCATAAATATTAATTGACCAAATAAAAATGTTAAAGTCTGCCATTCGCGCACTTAAAAAGTCTTTTTTTTTTTGCCCTCCATCACAAGCGTACCGCGTGACTTTCACTGGGTCCATGGTGCAAAAACCTAATGCAAGTAGGTGTTAATTGCACTTAGGAAACTACCACATTTTTTTTACCATCTTGTTGCTTAAGAGGGTAGAAATTCGTTTTCAACTTTCGTAAAAGACATACCTTCTCAATGTTTTAATTAAATATTATTTTTCATATATTTGTATTCTTTGACATTCTCTCGTAATGGTGGTTGGAGAAATATGCTTGACTAAAAGAAATGTAATATGGCCTCGTAAACTTGTCCATGTTTTCTTCTATGTGTTTCTTCTTGCTGAAGTGCTCGTCACATGTCTTTGTAAAACATTTTCTTCTCTCTTCATGGTGTATCTTATTGTCTTTAAAGTACTTTCAACTTCTACACTGTTAAAAAGCAACTAATTCATTACAAGGCACATAATTGTTGCATTATATTTGTAAGTTCGTACAAGTGCCTTAATATCTACGATATCATTATAGAGTATATTCTGATCTTCCAAATATTTGTCCAAATGTTATTTCACCGTAATCTCAAAGGTAATGTAATTTTCAACCAATTTCTGCGTTTTGTAAAAATTGTGTTCGTCATTCAGCATTAAATCTTCTATATCAATCAATTGAATTTGTCAGACATGTTAGTAAAGTTTATATATTTTCCACTATAGTAATTAATTATGAAGTGTTTCTGAATTATTATCGAATAGGCCAAGAATAGCATTGAAGTACGCAAATAAGTTTTCGATGATCACCAGAAAATCCCACTTGAAATATTTTCAGAAAAACAATGGTTCTGCCGCTTATCAAGTTGTGAGGTGGAAGATTTTTGTGATTCGTCTTACTAACGGGTGCAAAAACCAAAAAGTAACATTTTATCCTCTTATTGCTTGGACTACTGAGAAGACCTAAAAACATTAAACAATTATTACTAGCGTAATCGTCGCCAGCTTTCAAACAGAAAAGTTGAAGTTATTCTCTGCTTCAGATCCACAGATATTGAATGTTGCGTATATCATGACGTACACCCCTTTTCCCTCCAATTTCAAAGTCTATTGCCCAAGTTTCATATCGATCGTTTTGTCACTGTCGTTCTTTAGAATTTCAGACGTGTTGATACAAAACGCACATCTTTAATGTGTATATTTCGTCGAAAAGTATACTTACGATGGCGAACTATACTTACGATGGCGAACTGTACACTTGTGGATGGTGTGGTAAGTGATGATGGTACGGTGAAGTACTAGGGTGGTCTATGACTCGGTTTCAATAGAAAGACTCGGAAATTCAATAGAAAAATCTCATGTTTACATTTTACATTGCTTTGTAAATCGAAAGGATAGGCAGATAAACGAAAGCGGGTTTTATTAGCAGTTGCATATTTCTTTGTTATACATTCCTGTATCTCTTGTATATGTTGCTTTCAATTCTGTTTTTCATTATTTTGCGGGAAATGGATAATTGTTGATTATACTTTTCGTGTCTTGTTGGCTTATCTGAAAGCTGTGCTTGGGAACCTAGACAGATAAAGAAAAAGGGTTCTGATTACTAGTGTGTATTTCTTTACACTACATCCCTCTATCTCTTGTATATGTTTCTGTATATTCTGCTTGCCAATTTTTTGCGACAAACGGATAATATTGATGACGCTTTTCCTGTCTTGTGGGATTATATAAAAGCTGTGCTTGAAAGGTAAGACAGGTACACGAAAATGGTTCTGATTTGATCTTATGTCTGTCTTTACAGTCCTCTGTATCTCTTGTGTATGTTTCTGTCTATTCTGCTCTCCATGATTTTGCGAGAAACGGATAATTATTGTCGCTGCTTTTCCTGTTTTGTGGGGTTATCTAATAGCTGTGCTTGGAAGGCAAGACAGATAAATGAAAATGGTTTTGAGTAGCTGTTGTCTGTCTTTATACTCCATCTCTGTATCTCTCGTGTATGTTTCTGACTATTCTGCTTGCAAATTAATGCGACAAATGTATAATGATAGATGCTTTTCCTGTTTTGTGGGGTTATCTAAAAGCTGTGTTTGGAAGGCTAGGCAGCTAAACGAAAATGGTTCTTAGCTGGTGTGTCAGTCTTTACGCTCCTCTTTATTTCTTGGATGTGTTTCTATTGTGCTCTCCATTGTGTTGCTGGAAAGGGATAATCCTGCCTTCCGGGGCTATGTAATCGCTGGAGGGCTACGCTTTGGTGGAGGGCGAAGGCCGCAGGGCAGAGTGTGCATCGGAAGGGCTCGCGCAGGACCACTCGGACGACAAGAAGCTGCGCGAGGAGGCGGGTCGTCTGAAGCGGCGGGCGCGCGCGCAGGTGGCCAAGTACCTGAGCTACCTCACCTTCGAGCAGCTGTTGGGCTTCGAGGGGGGCGTGGCCGGGGTGGAGGCCGCGGCGCCGCTGCTCAAGCGCCAGGAGCCCGAGCGGCGCTCGCCCGAGCAGGAGGAGGCCCTGGACGCGCTGCTGGCCGGCGTTCCGGCGCTCGACGCGGACGACCCGCGCATCGAGCCCGCGCTGCGCGAGGGCGACATGGAGCGATACGAGGTAAGTGGAGGCTCTGGCTCTGGCATGACTGACTCTGGACTCTCACTCTGGCCTCTGGCTCTGGCCCTGCTCTGACTCCGGCCTCTGGCTCTGACTCCGGCCTCTGGCTCTGACTCCGGCCTCTGGCTCTGATTCAGGCTCTGGCTCTGATTCAGGCTCTGGCTCTGATTCAGGCTCTGGCTCTGATTCAGGGTCTGGCTCTGATTCAGGCTCTGGTTCTGGGTCTGGCTCTGGTTCTGGGTCTGGCTCTGATTCAGGGTCTGGCTCTGATTCAGGCTCTGCCTCTGATTCAGGCACTGGCTCTGATACAGGCTCTGGCTCTGATTGGGGCTCTGGCTCTGATTCAGGCTCTGGCTCTGATTCAGGCTCTGGCTCTGATTCAGGATCTGGCTCTGATTCAGGCTCTGGCTCTGATTCAGGCTCTGGTGCCGACTGACGCTGACACTGACGCGTACTCTGGCGCTGGCACAGGCGCTCGCGCGCCACGTTCAAATCAGTTGCATGGATCGTTTATTTTACCTGGCGTGGCTAAGGACATCAGGTTTGCTCTTCTGCCTGACCTCAAAGATATTGCTGCAATCCTGTAGCCCTATCGACGACTGAGAATCAGATTGTTCTAAGTCCATTTAGATAACTTAAGAGAACAATTTGAAGTTTTTGAGTGTAGTGGGTAAGTATGGAACGGGTTAGTATGAAATGGGTTGGTTACAAGCTTACGGAGTAGAATATTTTCATTTTTGTTTGATGCCTACGTGTAGACACGGACATATGAAACAACGAAACCAATCTCATTTTCTTACAAAAAAAATATTTTTTTAATAATATTTTATTTTGCAATTTGTTTGAGTACAAACATTTGGCAAAAATGCATACAATTTTTTTAATAACATGAGAGGAGTAAGGTCCATTGACCGGACTCCTAATATTACATTTTTTTTTAGTTTAACACACACTAAACATTTGATAACTAAACTAACATACTAAAAATATAAGATGATAAGCATATATAATAATAAAACAGAAAATAATACAACAATTTATAGTCGATATGTCAGGTCTAAAGTATGATATCGTTTAAGTCGTCTGGTAGTGTCACTATTGTCTAGTAAGTTAATGGCAAGAATGTTTTGATGGTTATGTAGTCGTTGTCTTACAAAAAATGGTCTTAAAAAAAGTCTGGTTCTCAGCCATCGGTGTATCAGCGAATGAAGGTATTATTCATGCAAGGAAATGACTGGCTCGCCGCGTACGACATATTCAATTCAGGCTTATGCCTGAATGCCTTGGAGTGGCTCAGACCAGCAGGTGTGCACTTCCACGAATATATTTCTACTCTCCTTTCGTCGTATGACAGTGAAAGAAGGTGTATTCGAGGAAGCAGGCGATTGGAATTTAGCTGAAAGTTTGTTTCTTCTATTTTTCAGTTCTTTTCTTATTTAATTGCACACATTGCATTAATGTAATCAATTGAAAATTTAACATGAGACACACATTTCGTTTCAGGGCACATACGACGACTACCTCGAGATGTTCGTGCAGTTCGGCTACGTGTTCCTGTTCTCCTCGGTGTACCCCATGGCCGCGTTCTGGGCCGTGGTGAACAACGTGCTGGAGATCCGTTGCGACGCCTTCAAGCTGTGCCGCGTCTTCCAACGGCCCATGGCGAAGCGCGTCAAGGACACGGGCGCCTGGCAGGTGAGCCCCGCCCCCGCCCCCGCCCCCGCGCCGCCCACGCGGACCGCTCCGCTCCGCGCCTCGCCTCGCCACGGCACCCGGCCCCGCAACCAGCCCCCTCGCCGCCCACGCGCCACCTCCGCTCTGTCCACGCGGCCCGCCCCGCCCCGCGCCTCGCCCCACTACTCCGCCCCCGCCCCCGCGCCGTGGGGACTCCCACATCAGCCGCACGTGACGCCTGCCCGCGAGAACCACACGTGCCGCTTAACGAACCGTGGGCCCCGTCGGCGCCGGGCCGTTACCGCCGTTTCCGCGAGGAAGAAGTGGGAGGTGCTGAGGGCACCTTGGATTGTTACTTTGCGCTTCGCTTCGAAGGCATGCAATGGCATGTTGTGTGCTTTGATTGTACCGGGAATGCGTGAATGTCAATGAGAAAAGTAATGTTTAAATGTTGTTTTGTTAACGGAGCAGAAAGTGTGTTAGTAACGCGTAGCTGTATGTTTACCATGAAAAATATGTTAATCGGTGAAGAAATGCTTATTAGAAAATAAGTGGATACTGATTTTTTTTGTACCGAAACTAAACTTGAAACGTGTATTCAGTACTACCACCCGTTCGTTACTTTTGTCTAAGATAATAACGTACCTAGAACATTCCAACTAAAGCTGAAGTAAATAATATATTCATACAAAATGCCGTTTGAAGTGCTGAGGGGCACATCTTCAATGTTGTTAAGAGAAATGTTTTCAGTTTTAATCAATTGCAGTTGAGTGAATCCAGTATAAGAAAGCGAAATTGAACAGATAAAATTATACTAACAGAAAAGAAAGGTTCCCCTAAATGTTACTTCCTAGTTATTATTCTCATAATTTAAACTTTTCTGTTTTGAATGAATTCGACGTGGACTCAGTTGAGGCGTTCGGGTAGCAATTGCGAGCTCAACATTCTGTCGTTATGTTTAACACATAATTGCAAAGTACGCAAGTGAAGCTCATGCCCCAAACTGTAGTAGACGCAGCTTACTGTACTCGCGGTTATTTTCACCATTCGTTAAACGTTATCATTCTTATAATGTCCATTCGAAATTCAACATTAAGAAAACTTCCTTTATTGCCATTAGAATTCGTTTTGTGATATCTTTGTTTTGAAACTCATCTCAATTTCCGAACGTTTTGAATCCTCATGGCACGCGACTGGTGAAAGACCAAGCAGAGACTATTTGACTGAAAACGATTTTCCGGAATGGATGGCTGTGGGCGAGAACATTACTACATCTGCTGGACAAACAGAACACATGTAAAATCTTTACTTAGACTAGCACATGGTAAGGAGTATTTGGAGAAGAAAATTACGACAATGCTGAGTTAACGTCTCATCCTCCAACACCGAAATTTTCCCCGTACTGAACTACAGAATAGATTTCTTTTTTATTGGATAAACTTTAAATAAAACTGTTCGTCTATTGTTGTCAATCGGTTAATGTTACGACAAAATGGTTCACTGGGTGATAACAAAAAGCGATCACTGTATTAAGTAAAATTCGCCACGCATTTTCATAAAAAAATAGTTTCTGTATAAACATTTTGATGAAATCGTCATGCACTAAAAATGTAATAATGCGTTGTAGTTGTGGTTTTTCGAATCTTGTATACGAAGTTCCCCCTTCATACCCTCGGAAAGCCTCACTTCTGGCTGGGTGCGATAGATCGAAGATTAGAGCGACTCTGCCGCAAGAGCTCGTGATCCTCGTCAAGTATGCGAGTCGCTTCGTCATAGGAACGCTTATATAACAGAGGTGAATATTAAAATGGCATGCAGCGAGGCGTCACGCCCACTTATCCGCGCCGCCAACCTTCTTCAGAGATGCCACACAATGGTCAGAAACAGTAGAATGTCGCGTAGAAAAGGAAACAAAATTGTAAGTATTTTCTGTGCTATTAAACGCACATTTTCTGGAAAGAATGTTCCGGAAAATGAAGCCGATAGATATATACCAATTGTTAATAACGGTCGGGGCTTAAATGATTTAGCGAATAAAATGTTACACAGAGGGCAGGATCAGAATCGACTCCATTGCTTAAGAGAACTAGTAGTCTTCAAAATGTATATTCTAAAACAAACCAAAATTTAGGGATGATAATTATGAAGAGATGGGAAGTATTGATGCTAACGGAAATCATAGAATGTAAAATAAGAAGTATTTATTAAAAATGAAAAGTCATGCATAAACAGCGGCAGGTTCAACCAGAGTTCTCCCAATATTATAATTAAATAGACGTTAAGTGTGACATCAAACCGCCGAAAATGTCAATTGATTGCAATGTGACACCACCTGCACGAGTATATAAAGTGGAAGGGAAATGAACGTTATAATTTCCGGAAAACATCATTTGCACTGTCTCAATGACTACAATGTGATTATACGCATGTTAGATTTAAAACCAAAGTACAGTAACGCATTCATTTCATTTCGAACTTTCGGAATATTGTCCTTTCCCATCCTACCAAAATAATATATTTTAGACAGTCTCTGCCATTTTTTTGTTGCGGGATATGGGTATTAAATCCGAGGCTAGAAAGGAATAAGAAAAAGAAAGAGCAATTGAAATGCAGTTCTAAAGATAAGTTGCCAAAGTTCTATAATGGATAGGGTAAGAAATAATAACATTGCGGTACACATAGAATCGGGAAAATCTGTGACAACGTAGCTGGTGGTACAATAGTATCAATATCCGAATGAAAGAAGAAAGATGGTGAAAAAAATAGAAAACTGGCCACCCCCTGAAATACAGAAACGAGGACAAAGGGAGAAACGAAAAAACACCACATGTAGAGGTGAGAGGAGGAAACGAAATATCGCGCCTAAGAAAAGAAAAAAAGTGGTGCTCAGCATTAGAGAAACGTACTGTATCTCTTTGAAAAACTGTTAAGTAGGATACTATGCGCAGTTTTCAACTGAAATTGCGCCTTCTGAGAAGGGTACGACAACTGTAAAAAGTTTTTCAACGCAAACAATCGATTTCTTAATGGAACCAAAATGCTCTGGCTTCAAAAGGATCGACTCTTTACTAAGTCTTCATTTCATTTTTGAATGAAACATATATTTACAGGCCAAATTGAGCTTTACTTAAGGTACGTTGTACTAGGCCCAATATTGAATGGGGCATTAATTGTATTTTGTATATATACGTAGTGCTAGTACATTCATAGATGGATATTTTAAAGTTTTTATAATCGATGCATGGCGTCACACATTTTTTATTCAACAAAAATTGGTAAAATGTGTAAATGGTTTCCTCTACTGATCTGCAGACTTCATTCGTGATTGTAGCTAAACTCAAAAATTTAAAAATAGGTACCAACAATAATTTAACTCTATCTTAAATTTCTAACCTACACCAATAAAAACTACATACGCACTACTCTGTGCTTTCGGTGCGAGAGCCGCCCACTGTGCTTGGCGCAGAGCTCGTAAGACGCGAGGCGGGGTGGGGCGGCGCGGCTGGCGGTTCCGGCGCGAAGAGGTCGCGTCGCTCCCAACCAGGCCAGGGCTGCCTCCCACGCGCACACAAACCCCCGGTCGCATCGCGCCCGCGCGCGCCCACAATGCGTATTGTCGGGCCGGGAGCGCGCAAGGACGCGGGACCAACAACCTCTGGGCTCGGGCGCGAAGGCTGGGCAGCCCCTTGCGATTCAGCAGCTGCCGACCGCGGTGCCGGGCTTCGCTCATTCTCACTTCCAACTTGGCTCCCGATGGCTTCTTCCGACCTCACTACCGATGGCTTCTACCGACCTCACTGCCGATGGTTTCTTCCGACCTCACTGCCGATGACTTTTACTGACCTCACTGCCGATGGCTTTTACCGACCTCACTGCCGATGGCTTTTACCGACCTCACTGCCGATGGCTTCTAGCGACCTCACTCCCGATGATTATTTTCCATTTTTCCGAAGTGGCGTTTTGCCATTTCCACGTATAGGCAATAATGCATAATAAGCATTAACACAATACATTTACCACTGCATCTTCATGTTCACATCTGTTCAAATACGTAAAACAGAATTTTGATGCTAATACATTTCGTCGAAATGCAAAACTTCTCATGCCTCTGCACAATGTTATCATTTGTAATGTTCCGTTCATAATGTAGGTATCATTAATGTTTTATTTTTGTTTTTTTGGAGGGGTTCGGACATAAGCTTTTAAGTACAAGAAATGCCCAACACATGATGAGGCTGTTTGTTTCTGAAGCTGAATTGTAGGAAGTGTTTCTCAGAAACGTTTGTCCTTGCGAAAGCTATTGCTAAAGAAATAAACTGTAATTGTTTTTATGAAGTGAATCCCTAGCGGATGTCGTGGTGTCCTGTCTGAGCCAACTTGCTGAGGACCATAGCGTGAGGAACGCAATACCGTTTGTAAGACTTTTTTTTCGCTTTTTGTCGTTCTTTGTGCTTTCTACGAGTTCTTTCCAGGTTTATTGTTTCGTAAAGTAGTGGAGTTGCTCAGTATTGCTGTACGTGACTATACACTCATTAATTGAGTGTTATAGCAGAACGCATTTGCATCTGCTATTAAGTTACATGATATTAATATTGTTCGTCGACTGTACCATGTGAAAGTAATCAGTCTGATCATGACTAAACTTTACTGTTCCATCTCGTGTAGTTTTGCCAGATTGTACATTAAAAAATGTATATTAAACAATACGTTTATATTTTACTTGAAAGCTCCCCTTTTTTGTGTTATTATCACTCATAAAGTTTGGCCATGTTATATGTGTTTACTTTCTGTTTGATTATTTTAGTCTTCCAAGTTTTTACGAGGAAATGTCGTACAATACTCGTATGTATTGAAAATTTTATATAATAATTGTGCATATAAATAATATAATATATAAATACTGTTCACCACGAATTTCTTTAAAACGCTTCAAAAAATCGACGGTGACCACTTTTCATATTTTAGGTCTTATGCAGGTTTTGAGAGATATCTTCATTGACCTTGTTGTAGGAGTAGTGCAATGCAGAAAATTACCAAACTAGCCAATATTTTGTGACATGTTCCATTTGGTAAACACGTTTCGATAAATCAGCAACAATAAAAAAATAATTTGACGTTGGAAAACCAGAGTTGTTTAAATTTTAAAAATCACATAAATGTGGGTATCATGATTAGTCACTGTCGTTTAGTGTCCCTTCATAGAAGACATTCTTAATCAAAAAGATGAGAAAACTAAATTAAAAAATATGATTAATGGTTTCCTTCCTTTCAAAATGACTATTGGAGTATTTAACGAAATTGTTTGTATTTGCTGGTTAAACCTAGTGTGCGTTATAACCTGACATGTGTAAAATTACATAGTTTAAATGTTTAATTTGAATGAAAACGGAAAGTGTCCTTAATGACGTCACCGGGCTGCCTGGTCCGGGTCGCTGTGAGCCGTGTCGTGCGTGTTGCAGCGCGCGTTCGAGGCGCTGGGCGCCATGTCGGTGATGACCAACTGCGGGCTGCTGGCCATCTCGCCCGAGCTGCGCCACCTCAAGCCCGACGTGGGCGCCGTGGAGTGGGTGCTGGTGTTCGTCTTCCTGGAGCACCTGCTGCTGGTGGCGCGCCACATCCTGCACAAGGCCATCCCGGAGAAGCCCGAGTGGGTGCGCGTGGCGCTCGCGAAGATCAACTACCAGTCCAAGCGAGCGCTCAAGAACGAGGTGAGGCCCGCGCCCACGCCCACGCCGCCGCGAGTCCCCCACACGCCCACGCCGCCGCCCACGCCACCGCCCACGCCCGCCGTGCAGGGCGTGGCGGA